GCACCGCTTTAGGAACCTCCCCTTCTATATATGTTCCATCAATCCCACCAACACAGTCCTACCAAATAAAAAAATACATCAATATTAGTTTAGTGAACATAAAATAAATTGGAAGCATTATAGAATGCACTTCATAAAAATAATGTTTGTAAGAGTAATAAAAATAGTGCTTCCAAGACAATGCAAAGTCATAAAATAAATATTATCTCTTTAAACAAAGTTGATAGGAAATATGTAACTAAATACTAATAACTTACACATAAAATATAAATGTGCACTTATTAAGGCCATAAAATAAATTTATTAATGTGATTGAAATTTTACCTTAAACCAAGGCCAAAATCGAGTATTATGTCGAATTTTGGAATGTACACCAGTCATATTTTTTTGTTGTATAAATGTTGGTGCCATCTTTCTAATTGCCTCGGCAACTATTTTAACATGCCGGTTAATTGTTTCAAGTGAATGTTGAAAAGTTTCACAATCATGAAGTGTGAGTTAAAGTGACTATATGTTGGTGAGAATAATAAATTTTATGTCGGTGAGAATAATAAATTTTAAAAAGTAATGATGTGATTATAAATTTTATTTACATATGAAACAAATAGTTAGTAGATATAAATGTCGGGTTGTTTTAACAAAATATAAACTCATGGATCAATTATTGTATTAAAAGATCCCAAATCATGATATGGAATCACCATATAATTCCATATCATGGTTTTTGGAGAATATGGTATCAACTCTCATGATATGGAATCATGAGATGGAATCAGCGTAAAATCACATGTCCAAACGCTGATTCCATCTCACGATACCATATCGTGATATGGTATCGCATGGCCAAACGCCTACTAAATATAAAAATTGACCCACAAATTTATATTTTGTTAAAACAACATCACATTTATATCTACTAGCCATTTATTTCATATGTAAATAAAATTTATAATCACATCATTATTTTTAAAAATTTATTATTCTCACCAACATAAAATTTATTATTACTTTAAATTTGGTGAATATAAATGATAAAGTAGAAATTGATTTGGTGAATATAAATAAGAACGGAGGGAGTAATACTTTTTCGATTTTTCATAATTAAAAAAACGTCTCTTTCGGTTACATATGAAAATGTTTGAAGCAATTTAATATGAAAAAAAAAGACAAAATTGGTGATATATGTTTGAATTACACTACTTCCAATATGTTTGATTTTTAACACGAAATTAATGCACTGAAAATATATAATTGCACACAAATGAAACAAAGCATGAATCATTATGATAGTGACACAAGTGAAATTGTCATAGTTTGTGCAGTGTTACATAATTATTTTTTTATTTTTATTTTTATTTTTTTTTATTTTTTCAATGATAATCTGCATTTTATTCATCTTAACTCAAAAGTACAATGATCTGAGGGAGATACAAAAAGTAGCTTACTTCTCCCTAATTTGAAAGGATTTAAACTCCTATTTGAGATGAAGAAAATGCAAAAGATGATTGAAACCTTGGTCATAACCAAATGACACCAAGTTTTCAAATCTAACAATCTGTCAAAAGGCAGATTCTCGAAACTCCACTTCAAGGTGGGTCCCAGATGATCTCTATCTTCTTTTTTCGGATAGTTCTGAAGTTAGCCATATTCCATCTATCCATGGTCATAATGCCCTTAATTCTTCTAGGAAGCTCAGCAAAAGTTGTAAATATAGTGCTCTGTTGATTAGTATGGCATAGCGATGTCAGTTTGTCAACAACCTTGTTGGCCTCTCTGTAATAGTGTCGCAAAATATAACTTATATTCTCCATGTGGGCTTTTAGTTCCTCCACTTCTTTCTGCATCTTCCATGGGGTAGAGTTCTGATCGTTGACACAATTTACTAGTAATTTTGAGTCACTTTCTGCCAAGATAAACTCATATTCATTGTTGATACACCACCTTATGCCATATAACAACGCCATAGCTTCGGCCCAATTACTAGTGCCTTCTCCAAGATTTAGTGAGTAAGCAAAAATAAGATACCCCTCGCAATCCCTAATCACCCTTCCACCTCCACAAAGATCATTTTTGCAGCTACCAGCTGAGTTTAGTTTCACAAAACTAGTCAATGGTTTACTTTATTTAACCATAACTCTTCTCCTACTGTTAATATTACTCATCTTCAGATGGACAATAGACTCCCAATTAGGCATCAGTTTCACATTCACAAATTGGCTGGCCACCAGCTGAGTTATAGTAACAGCAATCTGACTTATACACTTCCTGACACTATAATGTTATTTTCCATACTTCGCCCCACATCTTGTTTTCCATAATTCTCATGTAGCCACAATAGGGAGATATTTCACAATTAAGGCTAGGATCGAATTTCTGGTTTTCCAGGTCCACCAGTTACTAAGCAGAAGTCTCAAGGGAATGTTTAAAAACGAGATACCAAATGGACCACACAGGATTGACCATATCTCTTTCGCAAACTCTCCAGAGCACAGTAGATGATCAATAACTTCTTCTTGGGGATTCTTGCAACAATAGCACCTTGAGGGGGCATGGATACCCATCCTCATCAGGTTTGAATCAGTAGGTATTTTATCCCTCAAGGCTCTCCAAAGGATGAAGTTCATTTTAAAAGGGACTTTGTTGTTCCAATTCATGGCATTGATCCAACTTTTATCCCTTTTTGGTCTCATGATGTTCCATGTTGAGGAGATAGTGAAGTTGCCTTTTTCATCAGGAGTCCAAATAGCTTTGTCTTTCACATTCGGATTGATATTGATCTGCATAGAGTTTATGTGGTTCATTACATGGTCCGGCAAATAAAGATCCCAACTACCCCATTGTCAATGGCCATTCAATAATATTTCAGAAAGATTATCATTTCTGGGGATTCTGCCTTCAGCAAGGAAAGTCCAAAGAGCTCCAATACCTGACCAGTTATCATACCACATGGATACCTCTCCTCTTCCTATCTTCCATATGATGTGTTTGTCCATAGTCACTTTTACTTTGCACATTGCATTCCAAGATTGAGAGTTCCCTGAGTACCATTTTTTTTTTAACAGGATGAATTCTTTGACAATATTTAGCTAGGATGAAATCACCCCACAGAGATTCCCTAGCCCTCAAGTTCCACCATTGTTTCACAGTAAATGCAGCACAAATATCATGAATTCTCCTAAACGCTACTCCTCCTTCTTCATATGGGTAGCACATTTTCTCCCAAGAAGCCCAGTGGTGTTTCTTAACTTCATATGTACCTCCCCAGAAGAATTTGTTAAGCATTCTTTCAATCTGGTTCATAACTCCTATTGGGGGTTGCATAACAGCAAGAAAATAGATTGGCATAGATAGTAGGACATGTTTAATAAGTACTGCCCTCCCTCCTACTGATAGAATTTTAGTATGCCAACCCCCAATTTTGTTCAAAATTTTGCCCATCATATCTGAAAAGAGATTTGTAGTTTTCCTTCCAACATAAAGAGGGCACCCTAGGTACTTGATTGGAAAGCTCTTGTGAACAATTCCTGTAATCTCTTTTATCTTTGTTATTGCTTGATAATGTTCTTTGGGAGAGATGGACACACTTGATTTCTGTTTGTTCACCATCTGTCCTGATACTTTTTCATATGTACTCAGAGCCCCATCATCAGTTCTAAGGATTTCCTGCAACCGCTGGAAAACAAAATAATGTCATCAACAAAGGCTAGGTGATTAATAAAGGGGCATCTTCTATTCATGCTAAATCCAAGGAATTCAACATTGTTGTTCAAGGCATTGAGTTTTTGAGACAGAAATTCAGCACTTATTACAAAAAGGGAAGGAGAAATAGGGTCTCCTTGTTTAAGGCCTCTTTCTAATTTAAAAAAGTCATGTCTATTTCCATTAACTAGCAAGGAGTACCAGTTACTAGAAATATGTCTGTATATCATATCAATCCAGGTTTCACAAAATCCCATCCTTCTCATGAGAATGCATAAATAAGGCCAAGATACCCTATCATATGCCTTAGCCATATCAAGCTTAAGAACAACATTACCATTAAAATTCAGCTTATCAATATCTTGGATAATTTCTTGAGCTAAAAGAACATTCTCAATAATGGATCTACCTTTTATGAAACCACTTTGATTGTTACTGATTAGAGAAGGAAGGATCTTGCTCAACCTAGAGTTTAGAACTTTTGAAGATTTTTTGCTAATTACATTACATAAGCTTATAGGTCTCATATCAGAGAAACTTTGAGGAGAATTGACTTTAGGGATCATAGCTATACAAGTATGATTTAACCATTTTGGCAAGTTAGCCCCACAGAAGAAGGCATAAAAAGCATTAGTAATATCGTAAGCAACCAAATCCCAACAAGATTGAAAGAACATAGCTGTGAATCCATCAGGCCCAGGGACACTATTAGGATCCATTGACATTAGATTACTCTTAATCTCTTCTTCACTCGGGATTTCAATCAGGGAAACATTGTTTTCCTCAGTGATCATGATGTTGATTGCTTCTAGGTTTGAGTAATCATTAAACTCGGGAGTTTGACTGAAAATTCCTTTGAAGTATCTCACTCCTGCCTCAGCCACCTTATCATTTCCTTCTACCCATTGTTGATTTTCATCCATGATTTTGTTGATGCTGAGCCTTCTTCTTCTATTCTTAATGACCCTGTGGAAGTAAGCAGAGTTAGCATCTCCATCTTTTAGCCATCTCACTCTAGCCTTCTGTCTTAGAATAGCTTCTTGAATTTTTAAGTGATGGACATATTCAGCCTTCGCCTTGTTAAGGTTGGTTCTGTTAGCAGGAGTGTTATCTTCTTGGAGGGATTGTTCCAGCATGGCGATGTTTGTTTCCATTGTCTTTGTCACACTATGGATGTCGCCATAGGTATTTTTAAACCAATTGCTCAGGTGAGAAGCCGTTCTTTTCAGTTTTTGGTGTAGTACCCATAATGGATTTCCTTGATGATTTTCATCCCAAACATTCTTAACAGCCTCCCGAAATTAAGGATGCTCTGTCCAAATATTTAGAAACTTAAAGTATTTGATGAATTCCTCTTCTCTATTACTGAACTGCACAATTAAAGGAGAGTGATCAGAGCAGGTAATAGGTAAATGAGTAACATAAGTAGTGTTAAAACTATCAAACCACTCAGAATTGTACAAGACTCTATCCAGTCTTTTCCAGATGGTGTTTGGCGCATCCCTGTTATTACACCATGTGTTAATATTCCCTGCAAAACCTGCATCTTGCATCCCACATTCCTCAATAAAATTAATGAAATCAAAACTTTTGTCCAATCTATATGGAGTGCCTCCGGTCTTTTCTTCCACCTCAGCTATGACATTAAAATCTCCCAGAATGCTCCATGATCCTTGAATTGTGTTAGACAAAGAGCTTAGATCTTCCCAAAGGAGCTTCCTCAAAGTTGTCCTGCACTTAGCATAAACAAAGGATGCATGGTAAGCAATTCCTGAAGCTACATGATTAATGTGGCAAGTAATATGTTGTTTAGAATCTTTGATGATGTTGACATTGAAATCATTGGTCCAAAAGAGCCAAATTTTATTGTTAATATTCACATAAGAACCTTGCATATCCAAGTGTCTCATATAGAAACCGACTTGTTCTGCTCGGATAAAAGGTTCTTGCAAGCTGATAAAAGAGATTTTGTATTGGTTCTTTAAAGTTTTGAGTCTTTCAAAAGCACTTACAGTTCTAACACTCCTAATATTCCATGAGATTGTACTAATCATTTGGAATTAGTGAGATTAGAACTTTGCATATCCATGCGATCTTCCTTATGATTGACCATCTTAGACTTGTCCTCATTGACTGAAGGTAGTCCGCTATTGGTTATCATCTTAGATAAGGAAGAAGAATTTTGATCTTGTACAGTTACAAAATAAGGATTGTTTTCTTCCCTGGTTTGTTTTTCCATAACCTTGTTGGTATCTTTGTCTAGGTGAGGCTCCACAACATCATGAAATTGATCTTCATCCATCTCTTCCTCTGAAGCTGATTCATAATGTTTGTATTCATCATCCTCAACTTTATTAGTTAAGATGTCCGTGTTATCAGCTTGCTGCATTTGATTTTTACTTTCTCCAGGATCATCGAGTGGTTGGTTAATCCCTTCGTTCATTTGTCTCTGATTACCATCTTTTCCTCTGTCGACTAGATTTAAATCTTTTCCCATATCCATGTTGTCATGGGATTCAAAGTTTTGGGATATCTCTATTGTTCCCTCCAGTTCTTTCGCAGAGTTTGGATGGATATTCTTGGTCATAGTGTTATCTCCCTTGTTGGTATCATTGTTGATGGATTCTCCACTAATTCCTCTTCTGCTTCTTGTTCTCCTTTCGTAAGGAGGGTTCATGTTTTCCATATTCTTCTTCTGGACTCTTTTACCTTTACTAGAGGTTTGAGTATACGTTTCTTGGGCAGTCCTCTGATTAGTTGTTACCTTTCGTTTACCTTTTTTGTTACTTGGTGTTTCTTGTTTGTCTTTATTTTGAGCAGTGAAGGTCATTCCAAACACTCCCGTTTTTCCAATCTCGCTCTGACCACTGATCTCCTTGACATTTTTTATGATTTGAACCTTCTCGGAAATTGGTTCTCCTTCAGTACTCTTTTTGAATGGATTTGTGTCCTCTTTGTATTTATTCTTTCCTTTTCCTTTTCCTTTTCCTTTTGTGACTGTTTCCATCCTTCTTCATCTTTGTTCGCTTCGTTGACCTCTTGTTGGCATGTTTGAGGGGTTCCTTCACTTAGGTTGCTTTTAGTGGCTTCCACTTCCATATTCATTTGAGAACAAGTTGAATCTTTCGGTGGCTCCATTCTTTCTCTCTGAGTCTTCTCGTTATTTTTGTTGTCATTTTGATCAACCATCTTTCGTAGTTCGGGATGTAGCATTCTACAACTGTCATCTTTATGTCCCTGCACTTTACAGTGAAAACAATAATCGGGTACACTTTCATACTCTACCCTTTGAGTGATAGACTCAGATTTCCCATCTTCACCTTTTACCTTTATTTGGATTTCTGTCACCATGGTTTTTGTTAAATCCACTTCCACTTTGATTTTTGTTGTGGTCGGCCTTGTTTTGGAAATAGTGGCTTTATCAGTGATAATGGGTAGACCAATTGGGGCCACTATTCTACACAGAGCTTCCCACTCGAAAAAATGCCATCTAAGATCTGGAAGATTAACCCAAACAGGGGCCAAGGTTGTTTTTGCTTCAGGTTTGAAATTCGGCATCCATTTCAACAACTTCATTTGGGTATTACAAATATTCAGATAGTTTCGACCATAAACATTTCTGTGATCTTCTTCTAGGTCGAAATCTATGAATACATGATACATATTGTAGGCTCCTATCTTAACTGATCCTTTTATAGGAATATTTTTCGAGAAATCCTCTCTGATTTTTTCAATTGAAGGTCTAATCCTTATAAACTTACCTACGATGGTAAGTTTGCGAATTTCAGCCAATCGGTCATTTTCCTCTTTAGAAAAGGATACTACAGGCTTACCTTCTAAGAATTCGTAAGGACGATGTTGAAGCTTCACCGTCTTCTTTGAGTTTCTGCCATTTGATACCCTAAGAGCTGCCACATAGTTAATTTAAGGATCTTTAGGATAGATTTGTTCATTTGGGTTGGTGGAAATAGTCAGACCATTTAACGGAGGAAAGTCCGATGTGGATGGATTTGGTGGTTTTGGGGGGGCACGCGGAAGATCTAGCTTCTGTGCGCCGGAAGCCATGGCGAGCAGCTGCTCGTGGAGTTAGCAAAGTTGACCATTAGCGGTCTTTTGTTACTGTTAGGAGCACAAACGTGTAAGGTTGTTATAAGAAGGTTAGAGAGAAGGAGGAGAGTTTTAGAGAGAGGAAAAAATCAGTACATAGTATGCGAGAATACCAAATGAGTGATGAAATATTTATGGTCTATGAGCATGAAAATATAGTTGTGGATGATATTGACCAACAAATGGCTCAAAGTAACAATGTTGCTTCGTCTTCTCGGTCATATGATCGAGAAATGCAAATTCAACGTGAGGAGATTGTTCGTACTATGTGGGAAAATTATATTAAAGACTAGTACACTATAATTTATGTTCAATTTTTTTTTACTAAATTAAAGTTTGATCAATTAAAATTAGATGAAATAGTTACTTAAGTGGAGAAAAAATAGTTTTGTAATAATTTATTATGCGATTTTATAATTTTTTATTTATTTGATAAGATTGAATAAATAATTATGGTTATTTTAATAGTTTTACAACTTATGATATTCTTATGTTTATGAGAAAATATACGACACAAAAATTTCATATGACATGTCCAAGCAAAACTTCAATTTCATTTCATGATTTCATATTGCATGAACAAACAGACCGTAATAATAAAATAATACTTACCACCCTTTTCTTACTAACCCAAATCTGCTTTAACCCAACCCAACCCAATTTCCCACTCTTTCAGCAAAAATACATACTCATATATATACGTACCACCCGACCCCACACCCTGTCTCTTCTTCTTTCCCACGCTTGACCAGAAATCCTAACCCTAATCGACTCTCATCCAAGCCAGTACAATCCCACACGGAGAACACGGAATTCGTACCAAGAACCTTCTCGAACCGAGCCAGGTTTTACCACTTCGTTCTTCATCTCGTCATTTCCCCCAAATCAGAATTTCATTCCAAATCCGAGTTCAATTCGTACATTACTCAAATTTTCATCAGGAATCCCCCCTCGATTTCCCCCCAAATTCCTCAAAAATCCTAAAATCTCTCTCGAAATATTGGAATTCAAAAGCTTCATTTGCGGCGAAGCTCATCGTTTCGAGGTCGTTGTTCCGGTGTCGCTGAGGTATACTTGTTTATTAGTTCTACTTTTGTTTTAGCTTTAGTCTACTATTTAGCAGTTGATTTGGCTCAATGTTTATGTGCTTATTCAAAGGTTAGCTTTCCATTCTTACTTCTGTTTGTTTTTATTTGAATTTGATCTGGATATGTGTATGTGAAGTGGTGATATGCTACTCTGAATCAGTTTCATGATTTTGATGTAGCCTAATCTTGTTCAGAAAAGCATAGTTTAATTTCTGCTTATAAATCATGCTTTTATTGTAGTTACTTTGGCTCAAATGCTGTCGTTTGCCTATTTAGAATTTAACATCTCATCCTTTCAGTTTGATGTCCTGTTCATTTTAGATTCATAGTCACATCGGTTGAAATCCTATCAGTTCACTATGTTTTTGATATAGTTGTGATTTTTTATTTTTTTGGCATGTTCATTCAAATCTCAGTTGGATTGGAATAATTTTGTTAGCTATTTGTATTTAAGTATCTATACTGAGCCTAATTTATCATTCTTGATCTGAGTGTTTCCTCCTTTGTTGCTCTAAAATTCCTAAATTTACAAGTCCATTTTAATACCTTTAAGAAATGATAGCCTTCTTTTAGGCATCATCATCACTTGATAAGTTTTCTGAGTTGGCTTGAATTCTTTCAGTTACTATCCCATTTGGATTAATTGTTATTTTTAAGAATGAAATCATGGTTTTTTTCTAGCTGGGCTGCTTGAAAGCTGCTTTTTTGAGAGAAATGAATCCACTAAAGAAAACTATTCAACACATTGCAGTTTATTATTATTATTTTACTCCACTTCATGTGATATCCATTTGGAATTCAAAATGTACTGGCTTAAGCATAGTTAAAAGGGATCTCTTATTTTGTACGATATTGCAGACAACTTTTTGTATATCATAACTCATTTGCTTATTGTAGGAATAAAGTAGAAACATTTCTCTTCGTGGGTGCTAAACTTGGGTTTCAACTTGCTGCTGAACTGTGGATTGTAAACAAGGTTCAGGTCAACTTTAGTCTGTTGATTTTTAAGTTTCTTCACGAAGGTGAGTTAGATTACTTGAAACTTTTGCATACTTTAAATTGTTTAATGTTTAGTGCAGATCTATCAACAAGAAAAAGTAATTTTTTAGTACTGACTTGGCATTTTCTTCTCTCCAGCTATTGCTGGAGAAGATTGATTTCTCATGGAAATAACTCTTGAAGAACTTTTCACACAACATGATTAAGCAAAAAGAACTGAAATGTTGTCCAAAAAATGGTTGATCATGGCGATGTTGTGCAAAGTAGTGTTCAATTGATTGGTGATATGGTTGATGCTGTAGATAAGTCATGTCACAGTAGGGATGGCGGAGTTTCTCGTTCTCCAAAGAGAAGTATTACTGGAGTTGAAGAACATGCAGATTTTGAGCCACATGATGGGATAGAATTTGAGTCCCATGAGGCTGCGTATGCATTTTACCAAGAGTATGCCAAGTCCATGGGATTCACAACCTCAATTAAGAACAGCCGTCGCTCCAAGAAATCAAAAGAATTTATCGATGCTAAATTTGCATGTTCTAGATATGGCACGACTCCAGAATCAGATACTGGCAGTAGTAGGCGTCCTAGTGTCAAAAAGACTGATTGCAAAGCAAGCATGCATGTTAAGAGAAAGCGTGATGGAAAATGGTATATCCATGAGTTTATAAAAGATCATAATCATGAGCTTTTACCAGCCTTGGCTTATCATTTCCGAATCCACAGGAATGTTAAACTTGCAGAGAAAAATAACATTGATATTCTTAATGCTGTTAGTGAACGAACAAGAAAGATGTATGTTGAGATGTCTAGACAATGTGGTGGAAGTCAAGAAGTTGGCTTGCTGACTAATGATTTAAATT